TTCGAACGACATTTCTCGAATTTCATTATATTTGATTTTGAACTTTTTGTTAATTTTTGCTTCCTTTGAACCATGAAACTGTTCTTAGTACCAGTCTCAAAAGCCTGATACCATCACTAATACTAATCCATGGGCTAAGGCTACTTCTTCGAGACAAGCTTCGATGACCTGCATAGTCGTTCAAGAGAAAAATTTCTAAGTTATTCGAAGAAAATTAGCGTTACATATATACTAGTAGTAATAGCAAAGGGAAAGAGGTGAATGACTTCTCAACATGACTTTAAAAAGTGTCTTTTCAAAAAAATGCTTCCTTTATAGCAAAACAGTTTTCATAAAAAAACACCTTTTGCAGCGCTTTATTTTTTACAGTGCACAGAGAAGATTGAGTGTTACCAATGAGAAAAAGTGGACCACCGGATTTCCAAGGTTCGCTGGGATTCTCAAGATTTCGGCAAGATTTTTTGAAATCCGGTGGAACTTGGATATACCATTGATCCTCGAGAGCAAGAGATGAATGGCACTTTTGCGATATCTCTTAACAAGTTTCAAGTGGCGATGCTCTTTGACAAAATGATAGAGTATGCTATGAACTTTTGGAGCAAGAACTTAACCCGATGAAAAAAAAAGAGAAAATGCATCGTTTTCTTAATCAAATATAGATATATTGAAGGAAAAAGTGAAAAATTGTTTGTATATTCAAATAATCATCCTCTGCTCGCCCTACCGCTATAAAAGCTTTAAGGCTCAGATCATATTTACGCCATAAGTAGGACTTAATGAGACTAGAGGAACCCTAAAAGTATTTCCGTTCATGGATCTATTTTGCTAAGAGATGAACGTTTCAAGGTCAGGACGGGAAATGTAGATAATCTGTTTGTTGTGCTGTTGTTCAATACTAACATGCATCAAAAGAAAGTTTTATTGTCCAAAATACTTATAGATTGAAGTGTTTTACGCGTTTTTACATAAATCATCGTGAGAGTCGTGTACAGATAGCTGAAATCCTTTTATTCGCTGGTGTAATAGATGGAAAAACTAAAACATGCAATGTGATCATTAGAACAAGTGAAACACGAGTTCTTAGTTTTTTATATGTGAGAGTTTAGTGAATGTGATAAATGACGAAAAAGTGATCGAAACATAAGTCTTTTCGACACCAACTACACGTGATGAAAGGCGGTGGATCGCATGATTGCTCGGTACAATTGTCGCGATGAAAAGAAAAACAAATTTACTTGATGTTTTGAAATAGATCGGGGTTCATTAATATTAATATTAATACTTGATGCTTCTTTTATCATCATCATCATCATTCGGCTACGAACAATCTAGGTTTGCAGGCGACAATAATCTTAGGCCAATTCTCTCGGTTGGCGGCAGCTTTCCTCATTTCGTCGACCGATGGCTGAGTATCATTGTTGATCAGCTTTGCGATGTAGTCAGAATACATTAATTTTGGGCGACCTTGTTTTTGTTTACCGTGTCTTGGTTTCGGTGTGTAGAGAGCGTATATGTTGTTAAATTCATTCGCCTCTCTTCGTAAACAGTACCCGATGAATCTGAGCTGTCGACGTTGAAACCAGTTGTTCTTGTCCAGTTGTTTTGTAAATGCTTTTGTTGGAAATCTTGTCCAGTCTTTTGATGTTGAGCATTATTCTGTAACAACTGGTAGCAAAGCTGTTGAGACTGCTTTCGAGCGTTTTTGTGATGATCCAGCTCTCGCGGTCATACAGTGGAATTGAGAGACATAAGGTTTCGAAGATGTTAACTTTCAGGAGGATTGGGATTGTGGTTGATCGCCGGATATCATTCATCTTCCAGAAAGCGCCCCATGCTTGGCCTTTTCGCACCTTTATGTCAGATTCACTCGACAACATCATTGATCCTAGGTACTTGAAGTTATCAACCCATTCAATTTCTGCTCCATCGAGCTTGATCGTACCGTTGTTTCTAGCTTGATTGATCATCGCTTGAGTTTTCTTGACATTGACTTCAAGGCCTACTACTCTGGCCCGTTTTGCTGTGTGGTTCAGTTGGTGCGATTGATTGAAGCTATTTTCTAGAAGCGCAATGTCGTCAGCAAAATCAAAGTCGTTGATTGTTGTTGCCGGTTGTCTGTTTAATTGTCGCAGGTTTGTAATGAAACCATGCTCGCCTTTTTCGTTTGTGTTGTCCTGTTCTACTTTCCTCATGGAAGCATCATCTGGCTGACGAAAACATTAAAAATTGATTTTATCATGTTCTCGAAGAAAAGTCCGAGTAAAACATGGTGGAACCGGAAGATTTTAGTGAAAAAATACAGGAGTTTAGCTAAAATACATGAAGGTTTAAAAAAGAATTACTTGAGAACGTAATGATAATTTGACATCTTCAGCCGAAAAATAAAAGTTTTTAGCTGAAAAAAAGAAGACTTTTAGGCATAAGTCGGGTACGGGTTGGGCACGGGTACAAAGCTGTCGGGTCGGATCAGGTGTGGGTGGAAAAAATATTTTCGGGTCGGGTACGGGTACGAAAATTTACCCGTGAATATCTCTACTCTAGACTGGTTAAGGTGTCGTGTGCTTGGCAAACTACTTTCGGAATTTTCTGGGGTGCAGAGTTTAAAAGTAAAACTGTTTGCATTATTATCTGTGATTTTTCGTAATACCCTTACTTTTAATCAAAGGAATATGCAGCGTTCTCTTTTCACGTACTATAATATTAACATAATTAATCGATGGCATAATATCGAACGATTTACGATAAAGAGAAAAACACCTATGTTTGAGAAACTTGAAAAAACAAATCTTAGTCAATCAAAATGTTTTATAATTGTAAATCAAGTTGTTAATTCTAAAAAAAGAATGAAAAAGAATTGCTGTTAACAGATGTCTTATGACTAGAAATATACACTAGAAAAAGAGAAAAAAATGTTGACTGTGCAACATCTAATGTCCTATGACAGAACCATTCACGAGTAGTTAATTTCCAATTAAACAGTTATCAGCTGCTACTACATTAGTTTTTGTGTTTGTTAAAATTATATTTTGTTTTATTTTGTCTTATTTTCTTGTAAACAAAAGAGAAGAACACTGCAACAACGAATTCTCAATTACTGGTAGAAGTAGCCCGTATGCTTTAATCGCTGACTTCAGCAGATAATGATATATCTTCCCTGTGTAATAGACATAGCTCAGCATCCTCTTTACCGGATCCATTTATCAATATTCACTCGTTTTCACATTTAATCTCAGCTTGCGATGTTGTACATTTTTCATCACATAATATTCTCTGACCATAGTATTTGGCAAAAATTGTCATTTTAAAGTTTAAAAAAATAATTTAGTCTTTGTTTAATTAGTGATGTTAATCATGAAATTAATCCAATAATTCATACGAATCTTCAATAGATACAAAATTCCGTTTTACAATTCTGTTTCGATATATATTTACTATTGAAGAACTACATCATGGTTTTCACTGATATCGGTTAAATTCTTATTTTATTTGTTAAACATATTTTTGATAGATTGAACAAAGTCATGAGTATTTTCGACGAAAATTAAATTTATACACATTCTTTTGTTAATAATTATCATATGCTTGACAAAAAACGAATATCTGATCCTATTATAACTAACTAAAGATTCAATTTCGTTTATCAAACTTATTACAATAATTTCCATATATATATATATATATATATATTGGATGTCTACATATCGTTCGCAAAAAATTCAGAAATGTACGAAAATTTCTACTTCAGAAATTAAGAACAATTCTTTCATAGCGTTATCTAGAAATGAGTCAACAACAAATATTATACTGTATCCATATTAATACATGAAAAGTATCAATATGTGTTTTGATTTTTGTTAAAAAAATATTTTTATACCTATCAAATAAATTTTGCTATAAAAAAAAGCATAATGATGAGTCAAACAAATCTTTTTAACCGAAAACATTTTCAGTGATATAAAAAAAGCTCCTAGTGATTACCATAGATTAAGAGTAACATTATGATAAATAGATACTTGTTTTTTTCCATTGTTCAACTTAAACACCATCAATGAATCATATATTTTATATAGAAAAGTAAAAATAAAATTTAAATTTTATTTCTTTGATCTGTTTCTTGTTCTCAGCTCGTATATACACACAATAAATATGTTTAACAACAAAAAGAAACGAATATATAAGATTATTTTGTATTTTTAATTATCATATTAGACGAGTACAGCATCAATAAACAGCATTAATTATCGTGATTATGATTACAGTATTAATTTGCACAACACTTACACAAGACAATTTGTACAAGGATGTGAACATCTCATTTTGACTAGATGGCACTCGTATTAAAAGTTAAGTTAAACAAAAAGAAGCTGAACGAACGAAAAAAAAAGAAAAGAAAAAAAGAACTCACACAGACATAGACGTAATTAAAAATTAATTATATACAAACATACAAAGACAAAAAAAAGATATATGTGTGAAGCAAAAAAATAATAGTATGATTGGAATGAGTACGAACATCATTATAGAAAATGAATTTGGTCACTATGGAATGCAAAAACAACAAACAACATTCTTAGTTAGATAAAGGATCCTCATTACACTCTTAGCTTCAATAACATGACAATGAAATACAACAATCACAACAGATACTAAAATGACGTACTTTTTAAGCTTGCAATGCAAATTAAGTTTAAAAAGTAGTCTAAAATGTTCATATAAAAATTTGTACAATTATGAATAAAGCATTGCACATTCTCGACCTCGGCCATTAATAATTAAGAAAGAAGACAAACACACATAGGTTAAAGAAGAAGAAGAACTATCAATTAGTAGAAACATACACAATAGCACTGTTCGAAACATATATGTTGAGAAAAACTAAAAAAAAGTCATTTAACTCTTAGTGAAAATTAATTTGACAGCTAGGAAAAAGTTATTGATCGTTATGATTGAGAATAGATAAATAGTTACTAAAATTTTATTACATGATAAAACAGAAATAACTATCTTACGTTATCTAACTGTTGAACTAAATGTTTTGGTAAATCAAATTGATTGTTGTCCTGTTCAACTATTATCCTTTTAAGTTTTCTCAAACAATTTTCTTTTAATGTTGAACATGTTTTACACCGATGACCTAATATAACGACACTTTGAGCTGATGTTGATGATATTGCCGGATATAAGAGACCATTATTGTTACTTTTCAATGATTTAAACGCAATTCCACAATGTTCACCGTTGATTGTATAGGACAGTGTATCATTGTCACTGTCATAATGGAGTGCAATTAATGCTGATTGTAATGGTTGCAACGATTTCATATATCGTTTACAGGTACCATTATGCCATAGATAACCGTTATGAGAGAGAGCCCAACCATTTTCATCCGATCCAATTAAATCTTTAAAGCCAACAGATGACAATTTTTGTTGTTTAGCTAAACGCAAAAGTAAAAAGAAATATATACTTTTTTTGTTCTTTAGATTTACAATAATTATCTTTTACGACTATTCAGGTGGCTAAGAATGTCTAATAAGTTAAAAACTTCATGCAGACCTCTGTAACGTCAATAAACACTGTATTATTAAAATTAGATACATACTTGCTACTCCAAACATAATTGATGTTCCATAAACAGATGGTATATATAATTCCCAATAATATCTTCCTGTTGATGGTAATGGAGAATTTCCAAGTAGAACACATGTTGACGAACTTCTTCTAGGATGAAACATCACATAATCCCCATCTATAATAACATTTGGTACAATACATGGTTTGTGACATTTGTCCCTTGATAAATCTAATTCGTATATTTCTGTTTCAGATAACGGCGATGAGATAAACGACCAATGAATACTCATACAATTTTGACAAGTTGGAGTTTTCTTCTTATCTAGTAAAACATATTTCATTCCTTGTGATGATATAAAATTTAAAATACTTCTACGTAAATATGTTGATGATATTATTTGTTGTCGTTGTTTTTGCTGTTGTTGCTGGTGTTGCCATTGATGTAATTGAGCAACAGCACTTTTTGTTGTTACATCTACACTGGAAAATCCTTTTTGATGTTTCTGTTTCCTAATATTGCTGTTGTCGACGTCGTCTTTTTTTTCCAACTTTTTTCGCCATTTTTCTCGTCTTCTTCTTTTCTCTGAAACGATGATTCTCATCTTTCTTTTTTCCTCTTCAGATTACATTTCTATAGCTAACCGTCATGTTCAACTATTATAGTTAATAGTGATAATAAAAAAAGAAAAAAAACAAGAAAAGATTTCTACTGTACGATAATAGTTCGAACGACAAAAGAGAGAGAAAAAGAGAAAAAGGAAATAACTGTTCGTAAATAGACACATGCATTCAATTAAAAATGTTCAAAAACGGAAAATAAGGAAAAATGTGTGAGTTGACAAATGACGCTTTGACTATAAAGAATAAGTAAACGAAGAAAGAAAGAAATATATATTTATATATTTATACATGACATGACTTTGGATGTCTGGTTGTTGGATTTTCTGAAAAAAAATAAAGAAGCCATCTGTATTTGTATTTTATGAACGAACGAACAGAGAGGAAACATAGATGTATATAATATATACATATATATATATATACACATAAAAACTAATCTATCTCACGTTGGGTGTATTCTCTTTTCCTGATGATAAAAAACACTTTTGGTCCCATATTAATAATTCACTATAACCATCAGTTTGATTTTAGCGTCAGAGAAAATGCAGTGATGTGAGAAGATGTCTATAATCATTCATTCGTTTGTTTAATTTTTAATGAACACATCATAGAGAGAGAAAGAGCGAAAGAGAGACAGATGACTGCTTTTTTTTGTGAACAAATATTGCTCTTGAGCACTACACGTCTCACAAAATCACTTGAGAATTAATTTTTGAACAATAACATTGTTACCTCTTTGCACATGTAGCAAAATAGATAACGTTAATTTTTTCTCTTGTTTTAGGATACCAGCTGGAAAATGTTTTCTTTGTAATCAACAGATTTAGTTGAATAATCTACCAATTTCTTAGCTTATCAATTCATCAAGTTCATTATTTGACATATAGATACATTGGTGAAAACATGTCTCTTATATGAATGAGAATGCTTGAAAACTTAAGAGTTCCTGTATAGAGAAAATTTTTAGAATTCAAATGTTCATGTATCTAAAATTTTAAAATAGGAAGCAGCTGTTACTTTTCAATAGTTTCTCTTATTAATCTTTCTTTGTTGTTTTTTTTTGTCCAATTCCGAAAAATAACGAGCATTAATACATTATGTTAGTCGACACGCGACACTTTTTTTTTTGTCGGTATCGTTTGTTCAGTTCATCAAACAGCTAGGCTACCTGAACACAACACATTAAAAATGAAAATACAGTTCCTTGTATTTTCTGATTTATCAAATCTAGCATCACAAGTACATAAACGGAAATTGATTTCAAAGTAATAGATCATCGTTTGAAAAGTTATTTTTAATTTGTTCAAATGAACACGATAATAATAGCTGTCCACCCACACACATATACTGTACGTATACAATAGATACAGAGAAAAGAGAAAAAATAAAATATGAAAGTGGGAATCGAGTGATATATATATTAAGCGTGTGTAACATCTGTCCATAGAGAATAAAATATATGAAACAATGTGATCCACGTGTTACTATATTAACAACGTTCCTTTATTAATATATATCTACGTATACTTTTTTTTTAGCCTAAAGTCATTCATCATTCAAGCAAGAAAGTAAAAGATGTTGGAATCGATTTGAATATAAACTTTTAATATAACGAACAGTTGGCACATCAGGTTGAGAGGATAACTGTCAAGATTAAAAATTAAATGAGATTTGTCTCTTCTGGGATTGTAGTGAGAGGCAATTTTAAATCATACCGTGTTCACTAATCATTTGGGATAATCCTATACTCTAGTGTAAATAAAAATAACAAGCATCATGAAACAAGTTTTTTCAAAAATGAGAAGAGAATATTACTTTAATAATGAAACAAAAATACTGTCACATTATAGACGTGCCTATTAAAAAAACAGATGTTTTCTCTTGAAACCACAACAAAATGAAAACAGACGTTAAAGATTTGCAAACAAGTATCTTTCAACGTTATTTCTTTTCTTTCGGCCTGTTTCTGTCACTTGTCTATTAGCTAAACAATTCAGAAAGCATTGTTATCATACTGTTATAATAAATTTGTTGTCAATCCGAGCAACTGAAAAACGCTTTATCCTCTACAATGAATATGATTAAGTTTTGTAACTGATAATTCAAATCTTTCGAAATTACTGCACTTTCTTTCTCGCTAGACATCGACCTATTTTTGAAAGACCAATTCTGGATCAGCTTTTTCGTGTTGAAATGTAAATATGATATGCGTGTATGTATCATAGTTGTTAGATGCTTAGATCAGAAAAGCCGAATAAAAAGTTGAAAAAGCAGAAAAAAGCAGAAGTTTTTCCCAAATTGTGGAAAAAAAGCGGAAACGCATTTTTCACCAAACGTAAAGGAGCATCAAAAAAAATTTCCTAGCGCTTTATGGCGGTTCCAATTCAGAAATATGAAAGAAGTACAAAACATCATTTAAATCCCAATTTGAATCGATATTGGCTTTTTGTGGATGTGTGTTTTTGATCAGCCGTCATAAATTTCAAGAGTGATGTATGGCAGGATAAAATTTAACTCGAAATTTTCCCGCCTACGACAGCACTTAATGGTTAAGATTTTCTGACCGAGTTGGCTTCCTTGAAGATTTAGTATTTCACCATTTTTTAGCAGCACTTGAGACAGGCTAATGTTTTTCTGTTACCGCTCACTTCCGGGGCAAATTTCTGATTTAGTTCCTAAACAGTGCGCATCTGTTTTATAAAAGTTGCAAAAGTATTGTTTTGACAAATCATTCAAATTTTTCATGAGAAAATGTAAAAATCTTCATCAATCAAAATCTTCAAAAATCTTCAAAATCTTCACAAAAACAAAAAAATCCTTGAAAAGCGGACAAATTGCGGACACTGCGGAAAAAACTACAGAAAGCCGAATTTGTCCCCAAAATTCGAATCATCGGGCAACTCTGATGTGTATATCATTTGTTTGAAGACAGTATCAAAGGCAGATATAATGAAATTTTTTTATGTAAGAACGAGATGATCCTTCGCACCTTGCAAGACATAATAGTTAAAGGTTTATTCCAACATACAGGCAAAACAAGTAAATTTGACATAAATTTGTTCATAAAGCTCGAAAACAATTTAATTGATTACATCATCTTAGAAGCATACGAAAAAGTTGATGGTTTCTGTGAGATGACGAAGGGACTCTTAAACTTTTTTGTCGACCGAAGGTAAACTAGGTGTCGAACAATAATAGCATTGTGTGAGCACCTGATCAAACAAAATTTGAAGCTATTGGAGTCCACAAATTGACTGATCCAGTCTCTTCCTTCATCAAAATGCAGAAGAAATTAATGAGAAAGACAGATCCCACAACAAAACGGTAAAAATGAGCTAAAGTCAAGCCAGTATGAAAATAAGTCCTTAGCTTTTAAGTGAACGATGTTGATAGTAGATTAATTGTAGTTGTAATTTAACTCGACCTTAGCTCATTTTT